CTTCTATCACCCCGCCCCATTCTCCCGCATTCCATCACCCCGCCCCATTTTCCCTCTTTCCATCACCCCGCCCCATTCTCCCACTTTCCATCACCCCGCCACATTCTCCCGCTTTCCATCACCCCTCCCCATTCTCCCTCTTCCCATCACCCCGCCCCATTCTCCCACTTTCCGTCACCCCGCCCCATTCTCCCGCTTTTCATCATTCCGCTCCATTCTCCCTCTGCCGTCACACCGCCCCATTCTCCCGCTTTCCATCACCCCGCCCCATTCTCCCTCTTTTCATCACCCTGCCCCATTCTCCCGCTTTCCATAACCCCGCCCCATTCTCCCGCTTTCCATCAACCCGCTCTATTCTCCCGCTTTCCATCACCCCACCAAATTCTCCCTCTTTCCATCACCCCTCCCCATTCTACCTCTTTCCTTCACCCCGCCCCCCACTCTCCCTCTTTCCATCACCCGCCCCATTCTCCCGCTTTCCATCACCCCGCCCCATTCTCCCTCTTTCAATCACCCCGCCCCATTCTCCCGCTTTCCATTACCCTGCCCCATTTCCCCTCTTTCCATCACCCCGCCCCATTCTCCTGCTTTCCATCAACCCGCCCCATTCTCCAGCTTTCCATCACCCCGCTCCATTCTCCCGCTTTCAATCACCCAGCCCAATTCTCCGTCTTTCCATCAACCCCCCCCCCCATTCTCCCGCTTTCCATCACCCCGCCCCATTCTCCCTCTTTCCATCACCCCGCCCCATTCTCCCGCTTTCGATCACCCCTCCCCTTTCTCCCGCTTTCCATCTCCCCGCCCCATTCTCCCGCTTTCCATCACCCCGCCCCATTCTCCCGCTTTCCATCACCCCGCCCCATTCTTCCGCTTCCCATCATCTCGCCCCATTCCCCCGCTTTCCATCACCCCTCCCCATTCTCCCTCCTTCAATCACCCCGCCCCATTCTCTCGCTTTCCATCACCCCGCCCCATTCTCCCGCTTTCCATCACGCCGCCCCATTCTCCCACTTTCCATCACCCCGCCCCATTCTCCCTCCTTCCATCACCCCGGCCCATTCTCCCGCTTTCCATCACCCCGCCCCATTCTCCCTCCTTCCATCACCCCGCCCCATTCTCCCTCATTCCATCACCCCGCCCCATTCTCCCGCTTTCCATCACCGCGCCCCATTCTCCCGCTTCCCATAACCCCACCCCATTCTCCCGCTTTCCATCACCCCGCCACATTTTCCCACTTTCCATCACCCCGCCCCCTTCTCTCTCCTTCCATCACCCCGCCCCATTCTCCCTCTTTCCATCACCCCGCCCCATTCTCCCGCTTTCCATTACCCTGCCCCATTTCCCCTCTTTCCATCACCCCGCCCCATTCTCCTGCTTTCCATCAACCCGCCCCATTCTCCAGCTTTCCATCACCCCGCTCCATTCTCCCGCTTTCAATCATCCAGCCCAATTCTCCGTCTTTCCATCAACCCCCCCCCCCATTCTCCCGCTTTCCATCACCCCGCCCCATTCTCCCTCTTTCCATCACCCCGCCCCATTCTCCCGCTTTCGATCACCCCTCCCCTTTCTCCCGCTTTCCATCTCCCCGCCCTATTCTCCCGCTTTCCATCACCCCGCCCCATTCTCCCGCTTTCCATCACCCCGCCCCATTCTTCCGCTTCCCATCATCTCGCCCCATTCCCCCGCTTTCCATCACCCCTCCCCATTCTCCCTCCTTCAATCACCCCGCCCCATTCTCTCGCTTTCCATCACCCCGCCCCATTCTCCCGCTTTCCATCACGCCGCCCCATTCTCCCGCTTTCCATCACCCCGCCCCATTCTCCCTCCTTCCATCACCCCGCCCCATTCTCCCGCTTTCCATCACCCCGCCCCATTCTCCCTCCTTCCATCACCCCGCCCCATTCTCCCTCATTCCATCACCCCGCCCCATTCTCCCGCTTTCCATCACCGCGCCCCATTCTCCCGCTTCCCATAACCCCACCCCATTCTCCCGCTTTCCATCACCCCGCCACATTTTCCCACTTTCCATAACCCCGCCCCCTTCTCTCTCCTTCCATCACCCCGCCCCATTCTCCCTCCTTCCATCACCCCGCCCCATTCTCCCGCTTTCCATCAGCCCGCCCCATTCTCCCGCTTTCCATCATCCCGCCCCTTTCTCCCGCTTTCCATCTCCCCGCCCCATTCTCCTGCTTTCCATCACCCCACCCCATTTTCCCGCTTTCCATCACCCCGCCCCATTCTCCCGCTTTCCATCACCTCGCCCCATTCTCCCGCTTTCCATCACCCCGCCCCATTCTCCCGCTTTCCATCACCCCGCCCCATTCTCCCTCCTTCCATCACCCCGCCCCATTCTCCCGCTTTCCATCATCCCGCCCCATTCTCCCTCCTTCCATCACCCCGCCCCATTCTCCCTTCTTCCATCACCCCGCCCCATTCTCCCGCTTTCCATCACCCCGCCCCATTCTCCCTCTTTCCATCACCCCGCCCCATTCTCCCTCCTTCCATCACCCCGCCCCATTCTCCCGCTTTCCATCATCCCGCCCCATTCTCCCTCCTTCCATCACCCCGCCCCTTTCTCCCTCCTTCCATCACCCCGCCCCATTCTCCCGCTTTCCATCACCCCGCCCCATTCTCCCGCTTCCCATAACCCCACCCCATTCTCCCGCTTTCCATCACCCCGCCACATTCTCCGGCTTTCCATCACCCCGTCCCATTCTCCTTCCTTCCATCACCCCGCCCCATTCTCCCTCCTTCCATCACCCCGCCCCATTCTCCCTCCTTCCATCACCCCGCCCCATTCTCCCGCTTTCCATCACCCCGCCCCATTCTCCCGCTTTCCATCAACCCGCCCCCTTCTCCCTCCTTCCATCACCCCGCCCCATTCTCCCTCCTTCCACCACCCCGCCCCATTCTCCCGCTTTCCATCATCCCGCCCCATTCTCCCGCTTTCCATCACCCCGCCCCATTTTCCTGCTTTCCATCACCCTGCCCCAATCTCCCGCTTTCCATCACCCTGCCCCAATCTTCCGTTTTCCATCACCCCGCCCCATTCTCCCTCCTTCCATCACCCCGCCCCATTCTCCCGCTTTCCATCACCCCGCCCCATTCTCCCGCTTTCCATCACCCCGCCCCATTCTCCAGCTTTCCATCACCCCGCCCCATTCTCCCGCTTTCCATCACCCCGCCCCATTCTCCCTCCTTCCATCACCCCGCCCCATTCTCCCGCTTTCCATCATCCCGCCCCATTCTCCCTCCTTCCATCACCCCGCCCCATTCTCCCTCCTTCCATCACCCCGCCCCATTCTCCCGCTTTCCATCACCCCGCCCCATTCTACCGCTTCCCATAACCCCACCCCATTCTCCCGCTTTCCATCACCCCGCCACATTCTCCGGCTTTCCATCACCCCGTCCCATTCTCCTTCCTTCCATCACCCCGCCCCATTCTCCCTCCTTCCATCACCCCGCCCCATTCTCCCGCTTTCCATCAGCCCGCCCCATTCTCCCATTTTCCATCACCCCGCCCCATTCTCCCGCTTTCCATCACCCCGCCCCATTCTCCCGCTTTCCATCACCCCGCCCCATTCTCCCGCTTTCCATCACCCCGCCCCCTTCTCCCTCCTTCCATCACCCCGCCCCATTCTCCCTCCTTCCATCACCCCGCCCCATTCTCCCGCTTTCCATCAGCCCGCCCCATTCTCCCGCTTTCCATCACCCCTCCCCTTTCTCCCGCTTTCCATCTCCCCGCCCCATTCTCCCGCTTTCCATCACCCCGCCCCATTCTCCCTCCTTCCATCACCCCGCCCCATTCTCCCGCTTTCCATCACCCCGCCCCATTCTCCCGCTTCCCATAACCCCACCCCATTCTCCCGCTTTCCATCACCCCGCCACATTCTCCGGCTTTCCATCACCCCGTCCCATTCTCCTTCCTTCCATCACCCCGCCCCATTCTCCCTCCTTCCATCACCCCGCCCCATTCTCCCGCTTTCCATCACCCCGCCCCATTCTCCCTCCTTCCATCACCCCGCCCCATTCTCCCGCTTTCCATCATCCCGCCCCATTCTCCCTCCTTCCATCACCCCGCCCCATTCTCCCTCCTTCCATCACCCCGCCCCATTCTCCCGCTTTCCATCACCCCGCCCCATTCTACCGCTTCCCATAACCCCACCCCATTCTCCCGCTTTCCATCACCCCGCCACATTCTCCGGCTTTCCATCACCCCGTCCCATTCTCCTTCCTTCCATCACCCCGCCCCATTCTCCCTCCTTCCATCACCCCGCCCCATTCTCCCGCTTTCCATCAGCCCGCCCCATTCTCCCATTTTCCATCACCCCGCCCCATTCTCCCGCTTTCCATCACCCCGCCCCATTCTCCCGCTTTCCATCACCCCGCCCCATTCTCCCGCTTTCCATCACCCCGCCCCCTTCTCCCTCCTTCCATCACCCCGCCCCATTCTCCCTCCTTCCATCACCCCGCCCCATTCTCCCGCTTTCCATCAGCCCGCCCCATTCTCCCGCTTTCCATCACCCCTCCCCTTTCTCCCGCTTTCCATCTCCCCGCCCCATTCTCCCGCTTTCCATCACCCCGCCCCATTCTCCCTCCTTCCATCACCCCGCCCCATTCTCCCGCTTTCCATCACCCCGCCCCATTCTCCCGCTTCCCATAACCCCACCCCATTCTCCCGCTTTCCATCACCCCGCCACATTCTCCGGCTTTCCATCACCCCGTCCCATTCTCCTTCCTTCCATCACCCCGCCCCATTCTCCCTCCTTCCATCACCCCGCCCCATTCTCCCGCTTTCCATTAGCCCGCCCCATTCTCCCACTTTCCATCACCCCACCCCATTCTCCCGCTTTCCATCACCCCGCCCCATTCTCCCGCTTTCCATCACCCCGCCCCATTCTCCCGCTGTCCATCACCCCGCCCCCTTCTCCCTCCTTCCATCACCCCGCCCCATTCTCCCTCCTTCCATCACCCCACCCCATTCTCCCGCTTTCCATCAGCCCGCCCCATTCTCCCGCTTTCCATCAACCCTCCCCTTTCTCCCGCTTTCCATCTCCCCGCCCCATTCTCCCGCTTTCCATCACCCCGCCCTATTCTCCCGCTTTCCATCACCCCGCCCCATTCTTCCGCTTCCCATCATCCCGCCCCATTCCCCCGCTTTCCATCACCCCTCCCCATTCTCCCTCCTTCCATCACCCTGCCCCATTCTCTCGCTTTCCATCATCCCGCCCCATTCTCCCGCTTTCCATCACACCGCCCCATTCTCCCGCTTTCCATCACCCCGCCCCATTCTCCCTCCTTCCATCACCCCGCCCCATTCTCCCGCTTTCCATCACCCCGCCCCATTCTCCTTTCTTCCATCACCCCGCCCCATTCTCCCTCATTCCATTACCCCGCCCCATTCTCCCGCTTTCCATTACCCCGCCCCATTCTCCCGCTTCCCATAACCCCACCCCATTCTCCCGCTTTCCATCACCCCGCCACATTTTCCCACTTTCCATCACCCCGCCCCCTTCTCTCTCCTTCCATCACCCCGCCCCATTCTCCTTCCTTCCATCACCCCGCCCCATTCTCCCGCTTTCCATCAGCCCGCCCCATTCTCCCGCTTTCCATCTTCCCGCCCCATTCTCCCGCTTTCCATCACCCCGCCCCATTCTCCTGCTTTCCATCACCCCGCCCCATTCTTCCGCTTCCCATCATCCCGCCCCATTCCACCGCTTTCCATCACCCCTCCCCATTCTCCCTCCTTCCATCACCCCGCCCCATTCTTCCGATTTCCATCACCCGCCCCATTCTCCCACTTTCCATCACCTCGTCCCATTCTCCCGCTTTCCATCACCCCGCCCCATTCTTTTGCTTTCCATCACCCCGCCCCATTCTCCCGCTTTCCATCACCCCGCCCCATTCTCCCGCTTCCCATAACCCCACCCCATTCTCCCGCTTTCCATCACCCCGCCACATTTTCCCACTTTCCATCAACCCGCCCCCTTCTCTCTCCTTCCATCACCCCGCCCCATTCTCCTTCCTTCCATCACCCCGCCCCATTCTCCCGCTTTCCATCAGCCCGCCCCATTCTCCCGCTTTCCATCACCCCGCCCCTTTCTCCCGCTTTCCATCTCCCCGCCCCATTCTCCCGCTTTCCATCACCCCGCCCCATTCTCCCGCTTTCCATCACCCCGCCCCATTCTTCCGCTTCCCATCATCCCGCCCCATTCCACCGCTTTCCATCACCCCTCCCCATTCTCCCTCCTTCCATCACCCCGCCCCATTCTTCCGATTTCCATCACCCGCCCCATTCTCCCGCTTTCCATCACCTCGCCCCATTCTCCCGCTTTCCATCACCCCGCCCCATTCTTTTGCTTTCCATCACCCCGCCCCATTCTCCCGCTTTCCATCACCCTGCCCCATTCACCCGCTTTCCATCACCCGCCCCATTCTCCCGCTTTCCATCACCCCGCCCCATTCTCCCGCTTTCCATCTGCCCGCTCCATTCTCCCGCTTTCCATCACACCGCCCCATTCTCCCGCTTTCCATCACCCCGCCCCATTCTCCCGCTTTCCATCACTCCGACCCATTCTCCCGCTTTCCATCACCCCGACCCATTCTCCCACATTCCATCACCCCGCCCCATTCTCCCTCCTTCCATCACCCTGCCTCATTCTCCCTCCTTCCATCACCCCGCCCCATTCTCCCGCTTTCCATCACCTCGCCCCATTCTCCCGCATTCCATCACCCAGCCCCATTCTTTCGCTTTCCATCACCCTGCCCCATTTTCCCGCTTTCCATCACCCCGCCCCATTCTCCCGCTTTCCATCACCCTGCCCCAATCTCCCGCTTTCCATCACCCCGCCCCATTCTCCCTCCTTCCATCACCCCGCCCCATTCTCCCGCTTTCCATCACCCCGCCCCATTCTCCTGCTTTCCATCACCCAGCCCCATTCTCCCGCTTTTCATCACCCCGCCCCATTCTCCCGCTTTCCATCACCCCACCCCATTCTCCCTCCTTCCATCACCCCGCCCCATTCTCCCACCTTCCATCACCCCGCCCCATTCTCCCGCTTTCCATCACCCCGCCCCATTCTCCCTCCTTCCATCCCCCCGCCCCATTCTCCCTCCTTCCATCATCCCGCCCCATTCTCCCTCCTTCCATCACCCCGCCCCATTCTCCCGCTTTCCATCACCCCGCCCCATTCTCCCGCTTCCCATAACCCCACCCCATTCTCCCGCTTTCCATCACCCCGCCACAATCTTCCACTTTCCATCACCCCGCACCCTTCTCTCTCCTTCCATCACCCGCCCCATTCTCCCTCTTTCCATCACCCCGCTGTCAGATTACTATAGCTGATGCATGTTTGTAGGCTATAGTGGGGTAGCACATATGGGGTACAGCTTTCTAGGGTTGTATTTGTACCCAGCCCTGACTTAGTCATTCCATTCCTGTTCGCTTATTCTCACATGGTATAGAGCGGGTCCTTCTACGGACCGTTTTTTTTTTTGGGCCCACCGAAGCGCCCCCCGAGGCGCGATCTTTTTTTTAGTGACCCCTCGGGTCGCCATTTCCCCTGCGGCCCCGCCGCCTTCACTGACGCGGCCCCGCCGCCCTCTCTGTCGCGGCCCCGCCGCCTGCTCTCACGCGGCCCCGCCCCGGCTCTCTCGCGGCCCCGCTGCCTGCTCTCGCGCGGCCCCGCCCCGGCTTCTACACGGCCCCGCCCCGGCTTCTACGCGGCCCCGCCCCAGCTTTCACGCGGCCCCGCCGACGGCTTTGTCGCGGCCCCGCCCAGGCCCTTACGCGGCTCCGCCGCCTGCTCTCACGCGGCCCCGCCCCAGCTCCTTCGCGGCCCCGCCGCCTGCTCTCGCGCGGCCCCGCCCCGGCTTCTACGCGGCCCCGCCCCGGCTTTCACGCGGCCCCGCCGACGACTCTGTCGCGGCCCCGCCCAGGCCCTTACGCGGCTCCGCCGCCTGCTCTCACGCGGCCCCGCCCCAGCTCCTTCGCGGCCCCGCCGCCTGCTCTCGCGCGGCCCCGCCCCGGCTTCTACGCGGCCCCGCCCCGGCTTTCACGCGGCCCCGCCGACGACTCTGTCGCGGCCCCGCCCAGGCCCTTACGCGGCCCCGCCGCCTGCCCCCGTCGCGGCCCGGTCACCTCCTGACGGCCCCGCCGTCCCTTCGTGACGGCCCCGCCGTCCCTTCCTGACGGCCCCACCGTCCCCTCCTGACGGCTCTTGCCGTCCCCTTCTACCGGCCCCGCAACTGCACCTGCTGCTTACCGCACACCTGAGTTCGCTTCCCGCACACTTGTGCACGATTCGCGCACACCTGAGGTCGCTTACTGCACACTCAGGGTATGGGGGTGACGGGTATGGGGGTGGCGGGTGTGTGAGCCGTTACCTGCTCCTCCTCCTCCTTCATCTCCCACTGCAGCAGCCGAGCCGCCCCACCGCCGAGCCGCCCTGCACCCGAGCCGCCCAACAGCCGAGCCGCCCTGCCGCCGAGCCGCCGGGTCGCTGAGCTGCTGAGCTGCAGTTGCTGCCGAGCCGCCCTGCCGCTGAGCCGCCGAGTCACCGAGCTGCTGAGCTGCAGTTGCTGCCGAGCCGCCTTGCCGCCGAGCCGCCCGAGTCGCCCGAGCCGCCGAGTCGCCGAGCTGCCGAGCCGCTGAGTCGCCGAGCCTACTCTTCCCACCACTGGTGAGCTCTTGCCCTGCTAGCACGCTGCGCGTCGCCTGCTTGCCTGCCTGCCTGCCTTTTGGCTTGCCTGGCTACCTGCCTCCCTGCTGCTAGTCCTGCTCCTGCTTCTACTTGCGGAGCCAAATGCAGCCCCAGCGATGCCGGCGTGAGTCCCTCACGCCCCAGCAGCTGCGTGAGTGGTACGCTGGTTGGGGCTATAGGGGTGGCGACGCTACTCCTACTACCACTCCTGCTGCTTCTACTCGTGGTGGCGGCCAGATGCAGCTCCCGCGGCCCTCTCGCGTGTCTCTCACGCCTCGCCAGCTTCGTGAGTGGTACGCTCAGAGTGGAGGGTCTCTCAGTGCTGTTCGCTGCTCTTACGTGATTCGCACTGGTACTCGGACTGGTCAGCCTTGTGGGACACGTAGTCATACACCGTCCCGCTGCTTCGCCCGTCTGAGCGACGCCTGGCGTACCGTGTTTGGCGACGAGGCTGAGCTTCCCGACTGGGTGGAGTTGCTTAGGCAGAGGGTAGATATATATGCTCTTGACTATGATGCTATTCTCACTGCCATGTATGCATTGCCTACTAGTGCTGACCGTGCCGGTCACCTGTGCGTCCCGCCTGACCCACGTATAGGACCTGCTGCTCTAGCTACTGGTGAGGCTGCTGCTCTGGGTGCTAGTGAGTCTCCTGCTCCGGGTACAGGTGCGGCTGCTGCTCTAGGTGCTAGTGAGTCTGCTTCCTCAGGTGCGGGTGAGGCTGCGCTCTCAGGTACCGCGTTGGCTTCGGCCTCCCTCACCTTTACACTTGACTCTGGGGCTTCTCGCTCCTTCTTTCGGGACCGCACCACACTCACGCCGCTTGGTCGACCGGTTGCAGTCTCCCTGGCTGACCCCTCTGGGGGTCCTGTCCTCGCTCACTTCTCCACTGTCCTCCCGTGTCCGGCTGCCCCCTCGGGCACCCTGTCTGGCCTGTACCTCCCCTCGTTCTCGACGAACTTGGTGAGTGGTGCAGACCTACAGGATGCGGGGGTTCACCAGTTCACTCCTGCGAGTCAGCGGGTGACCCACTGCACGGACGCACGCACAGGCCGGCACCTGGCCACGTTCTCGCGTCGGCCGGGGTCGAGCCTCTACACCCTGACCACTGAGTCTCCTCCTGTCCCCGCGTCCGGTCAGGTAGCAGCGTCGGGTCAGGTGTTTGCTGCTGCGTCCAGGTCTGGTCCTGAGTCTGCCCCCTGTTCGTGTCGCCTCCTGTCTCACGAGACTCTTCTATGGCACCACCGTCTAGGCCACCCCTCCTTGCCCCGTCTTCGGGGCATGGCTTCCCGTGTCCTTGTCTCTGGTCTTCCCCAGTCTCTCCCTCCCCTTCCTTCGGGACCAGGACCTTCCTGTGTCCCCTGTGTCGAGGGGCGCCTCAGGGCTGCTCCTCACTCCTCCCAGTTTCCCCCGACAGAGGCTCCTCTGCAGACGCTTCACATGGACGTGTGGGGCCCGGCCCCCGTCCGTGGGCAGGGTCACGAGCGCTACTTCCTGTTGGTGGTTGACGACTACTCGCGTTACACCTCAGTCTTCCCCTTGCGCAGCAAGGGTGCTGTCACTGAGGTGCTGATCGACTGGATCCGCGAGGCTCGTCTCCAGCTCAGGAGGAGCTTCGGCTCGGACTTTCCTGTTCTACGTCTGCACTCTGACCGAGGTGGGGAGTTCTCCTCTCGCCTTCTGCGAGACTACTGTCGTGCACAGGGGATCCGCCAGACCTTTACGCTTCCGGACTCTCCACAGCAAAATGGGATTGCTGAGCGCCGCATTGGCATGGTCATGGATGTCGCTCGTACGTCCATGATGCATGCGGCTGCCCCCCATTTTCTGTGGCCGTTTGCGGTTCGGTACGCGGCGCATCAGCTCAACCTTCACCCCAGGGTCTCTCGGCCCGCGATGTCCCCAGTTTTACTGTGGACGGGGAAGGTCGGCGATGCGTCTGCGTTCCGTGTCTGGGGATCTCGGGCGTTTGTCCGCGACTTGTCTGCGGACAAGCTGTCCCCCCGTGCTGCTCCCTGTGTCTTCCTTGGCTTCCCCCCTGACGCTCCAGGGTGGCAGTTCTACCACCCCTCCTCTCGTCGTGTTCTGTCCTCCCAGGACGTCACGTTCGACGAGTGAGTCCCCTTCTACCGCCTCTTCCCCTACCGTACTCCTTCCCTTCCCCCCCCACCGGACTTCCTGGTACCAGTTCCCCCCCCGGTAGACCCCCTCCCCCCTCAGGTTCCTGCCCCTTCGGGTGTGTCCCAGGTAGACACGGTCGAGCCAGTCGGGGTTGCTGCTGAGTCTGGTGCTGCTGCTGGGGGTGCTGAGCCTGGGGGTACTGAGCCTGGGGGTGTGAGGCCGGGGGGTGCTGAGTCTGGGGGTGCTGAGCCGGGGGGTGCTGAGCCGGAGGGTGCTACGTCAGGAGCTGCTGAGCCTGGGGGTGCTGGGCCTGGAGGTGCGGAGCCTGCGCCTGCTGGACCTGGGGGCTCTCCGGTTCTTCCGTCTCGGCGGGAGCCGCTCTCTCCACAGGAGCTACGCGAGTGGTTTGCTCGCCGCTGGAGGCGTGCTGCTGGAGCTGGAGCTTCTTCGCCTGCTGCGGGTGCTGCCGGTCCCGGAGCTGCTGGGCCTGCGGGTCCTACTGGAGCTGGAGCTACTGAGCCTGGGGGTGCTGAGTCTGGAGCTACTGTGCCTGGGGGTGCTGAGTCTGGAGCTGCTGAGCCTGGGGTTTCTCCTGCTGCTGCGTCTCGCCGGGAGCCCCTCTCTCCACAGGAGCTGCGCGAGTGGTTTGCTCGCCGCTGGAGGAGTGCTGCTGGAGCTGGAGCTTCGTCGACCGTCGAGGGTGCTGGTACTGCTGGTCCCGGAGCTGCTGGGCCTGCGGGTCCTACTGGAGCTGGAGCTGCTGAGGGTGTTGGTGCTGAGACTACTGCTGTCTGTCCTGGCGGTGGTTCTGCTGCTGGTGCTGCTGGAGATCCTGCCGCTGGAGGTGTTGGTGGCGCTGGGGCTGTCGCTGAGGGTGCTGGTGCTGTCTCAGCTGAGTCTGGAGCTGCCGCGCGGCCTCGGCCGTACTTCGTTCCGCTCCTACAGCAGGTTCTTGGTCTTTCTCCTTCGGTAGAGTGTCCACAGCCTGTCCAGTCGCAGTCACTGTTGGAGCCTTCCTCTCCTCTGCCTGCTCCCTCTCCTTACACTGGTCCTACTGGAGGTCTTGCTGAGCGTCGTGAGCCTGCGTCTCGTCCCACGTCGCCTGTTCGTGCTGCTCGCGCTAGTGGTCGCGGTTCGCGTCAGCGTCCTCCTCCTGTCCCTGGCACGCACCGGATGTCTCTGCGTCCGTCCACTGCTCCTCTGCGTGCCCCTTTGCCTTCTCCTCCTGAGTCCTCTCTTCCTGCGCTTGCTGACCCTGAGTCGGACTCTCTTCGCGCTGCCAGTCCTACTGTCACGCGTCTGCTTGCTACTGTCGTCACTAACCCCTCTTTTGAGTCCACTGCTGCGTCTGCTCTAGTCGCTGAGCTCGTTGACTTTGCTGCTCGCTGTCGTCTCGACTACGCTGCTGGTCTTGTTGCTGAGTCTGCGTCTGTCTGTCCTCCGTCCGTCGGGGGTGAGTGTGCTCTTGGCACGGACGTCCTAGAGGACAGACAGGAGGAGTTACAGTGTCTAGCGGCTGCTT